TTAAAATATTAGCTCTTTCTATAAGAACTTGATGATATGAGATGTCAGAAGCAAGAATTTCACGGTAAACCAGGTGTACCAGGTACAGAGAGGTTAGCCCTGGAACTAGTTTCCCGGCATCCTCCTGCTCTCAGAGTAAGTAAAGTTTTTTGAGAATCATTCTTACAGGTGCCAAGGAGGTCCACCAGAAGCTAGAAGGGTGGGTGTGGGCAGGTGGGCGTAGAAGGCCCCCAACCTTCTCAGCCCTGGCAGGGAGCCTCTCCTCGATACCACTCTTGTGGCAAGCCTCCTTCAAAAGGGAAGAAAATCAGCAGGGAAAATAAAAGGGAAAATTAAAGTAGCAAAGACAGGAAATAATAGGTGTCCAATACAAAAAGTTCAGAAAATTAAGAAAAAGATAAAAAATAATGATGGCCTATAATTTGATAACTTGGAGAAAATCACTGTTAAAATTTCCGTGTATGTACTTGCATGCTTTTCTATGAAAATTTACATATATAGATAAATTTTAGAACAATGGAATATGTATGCATAAAAATACATATATAGAGACACATATACACACATATTAATTTATTCTGAAAATCCTTCCACATAAAAAAATAAATGGCATCATCCTCATTTTCATGACTATGCAGTGTTCTATTATAGCATAGTTTACACACCCAATCTCTTACCAATGGACTTTTCTCAGTTGTTCACTATTATAAACAATGTTCCAATTACTTACATCATAGGTATATTTTTGCAAACTTGTTGCATTCTTTCCCAGTAGCAGACTTGCTGGGTCAAAGGCATATACTTTTCAAAATACTTTACAGAAATGTTAGTAAACTGTCTTCTAGAAGTGCCGTGCCAATTAACATTAGGGTGTGCATATCCATTTCCCTATATCCTTTTATGTCTTTGGCCAGCTGTGCAGTAGAAAAAACTATCTTTGCATTGCTTTGGTTACAGTGAAGTTGAATATCTTTTCATGTTTACCAGCCATTTTGAGATGTATTTCCTTTGCCCGTGTTTTTCAATCAGTGTTCATCTTTATTTTCTTGTTAATTTGTAAGAACTCTATATTCTGGATTCTTACCCTTGCCATATGTGTTGCTATTGAAGTAACATTTAAGAGAAGATTAAAACTAAATGTACTAATAAGGCAAGAAAATATTTTAACTAATAAAATAAAAAAATAAGGAAAATGTTACTTTTAAAAGCGAGAGGATAAGAAATTCAGGTGAGACACAATAAAGCCCAGATAGAAATAGGAAACTTTAAGGTAAAGAAATAGAAAAATAAAAATAACTAGTACCATTCAAATCAAAGCAGAATTCTAGAACAATGTCTACATTCTAATTTGTATAATATAAACTGCCCATAAAAAAATTTAAAAAAATTCGGGGGTGCAGAGGACAATACGACTTATCACAGGTAAGCCAGGGACAGTGCCAGGGACCTTTAATCACGGTGTCTGCAGAGACCTACACAGTAGATCAAAATGGGGAATAGTATCTAAATCCTTCACAGTACTCTATATGCTTGTTCAGGCCATTAGCAAATCCTCCTGAGGAGACCAAATCCATTTAAAGTGACTTTTAAGAAGGGCAACAGATAAAAAGGTAGGCAAGGAAAGAATTACAAAAACAGGATGAAGTCGTGATGAAAGCAGGTTAATCTGTCATTTTAATTGCATTGTCTCTTCTTTTTGTTCACTAATTAGATCAAGAAGCTATTAGAGTTAGAGATGATAAAAAGTGACTCTTCTGGAAGAAACTTTAACAAGGGGACGTCTTACCCCACCTACTCCAGGTTTCACATAATCGGAGGGGGAGATGAACCATGAGAGACTATGGACTCTGAGAAACAAACTGAGGGTTCTAGAGGGGAAGGGGGTGGGGGGACGGGTTAGCCTGGTGATGTGTATTAAAGAGGACATGGTCTGCATGGAGCACTGGGTGTTATACACAATGAATCATGGAACACTACATCAAAAACTAATGATGTAATGTATGGTGATTAACATTAAAAAAAAATAAATTGAATCTAATGTGGGATACCATATCTTAAGAGTGGTTTTTCTGAGATTACATGACAGTTTATCTTTAAAAAGGAAGAAAGTATGCAAGCTTCCATGCCCATTTAGTCTTCACAAAGTAGTATGAGATCAGTTTTACAATTTCCCTATTTTATGTATGAGAACACAAAGGTCCACAAAGACTAAGTGATTTGAGTCATCAAGGTGCTCACAGTGTATGCTAAGGAGCTGGACTCAAAATACTGCTATCCGGGCACCTGGGTGGCTCAGATGGTTAAGCGTCTGCCTTCGGCTCAGGTCATGATCCCAGGGTCCTGGGATCGAGTCCCGCATCAGGGGCGGTTGGGGGGGAGGTCCTTGCTCAGCAGGGAGTCTACTTCTCCCTCTCCCTCTGCCTCTCCCCCTGCTTGTTCTCTCTCTGTCTCTCCCGCAAATGAATAAAATAAAAATCTTAAAAAAAAAAAGAAATACTGCTATCCAATAGAAATGTAATGTGAGCTACATATGCTATTTAAGATTCTCTAGTAGTGGGGTTCCTGGGTGGCTCAGTCAGCTAAGTGTCTGACTCTTGGTTTTGGCTCAGGTCATGAGCTCAGGGTTCTGGGATCCAGCCCCATCTTGGGCCCCCACGCCTTGGGCCTCTGGCCTCAGGCCTCTGCCCAGCCCCATACCCTGCACTCTGCAGGGAATCTGCTTGTGACTTTCTCTCCTTCTCCCTCTGCCCTTCCCTCTGCATGTACTCTCTCTCAAATAAATACATAAATCTTTAAGAAAATTCTCTAATAGCTCATTTAAAAATAAAAATAAATACATGAAGTAAAATTTAATAATATATTTTATGGATACATTCAGACTATTATCATCTTAACATGTAATCAACATAAAAATTAATTACATGCTTTACATTTTTTATGCTAAATATTTGAAATCCAATGTGTCTTTAACATTTACAGCATACCTTAATTTGCACCAGCCACATTTCAAATACACAAGTACATTTCAAGTACTTAACAGCCACCTGTGGCAAGTCGTTGCCACATCAGCCTGGTTCTAGCACAGTGGTTCTCAAGAAGTGGTACCCAGACCAGCAGCCGCAGAATCACCAGGGAACTCTTAGAAGAACAGATTCTTGGGCCCCATTCCAAACCTACTGAATCAGGCCCTGTGGGATTGGGGAACACCAATCTGTATTTTAACAAGTCCCTTCTGGTAATTCTGAAAGATGCTAAGGTTTGAGAACCATTACTCTAGACAGTTGCCTCTCCAACCCAATTCAAATCCAGGACAGCCATGTCAGGCTAATACTAAGGAAGAGGAGCCCCTTCTCTTGAGATCAACAATTCTTGGCTAGATGAAGTTGGTATTCTCTTGTATGGAAATCCTCTAGTGCTTGTTGTGGTTCCATTTCTTGGGACTGTGGAATGAATTACCAGACACATAATTTAAACATGGTTTCATTTATCACTTTGTTTAAGGAGGAAACAACACCCCACAGTAACTACCCTATGCTATCACCTTGAATTTAGTTACTAACTTCTCTTGTCCTCAGTTTCCTCATCCATAAAATGGGGATCCTTTAATAAATGTTGGCAATTTTTAAAACAATTTTTATGTATTTTTTTTTAGTAATCTCTACACCCAATGTTGGGCTCGAACTCAGGACCGTCAATCAAGAGTCATGAGCTCTTCTGACCCAGCCAGCCACGCACCAGGGCAACTTTTTTCAAAGTAATGTGTACAAAAAGAAGTCAGCAAAAGCAACTGATATGTTTAAACAACAGTTAAAAAAAACTAGTGGGCAGGAAAGGTAATATAGATTTTGAGCATAGAAGCTAATTCACTTCTATTTCTCAGAACATTAGATTTGCTGAGGGGGGAGGGTAAGGTTCTTGCCAAAATCACTAAGGGGAATGAATCTGAGCATGCCTTAAAGGAGAATTTTCAGTAAACAGGAATTAACTATAAAGAAAATCAGGAAGCCAAAGTGTTTCTTTTTATGAAGTTACATCCTGCCATAGAAAAGCTGGATAGGAAATAAAGACTGATGCACTCCCAACTGTATACGAAACCGGCTATTATTTCATCAAGGAAAATCTGAGCAAAAGCTCAGATTCGATGAAGGAAAAAAAAACATGAGAAGGCTAAATGTCACGAGAAACCAAAGACAACCAATAGCTAAAATTAAACATGATTTGGGGAAAATCTATACAAACAAATCTCTACTCTGTGATTTCAGATTCCTAAGTTGCCACCTGCCCTCTCCACCCCTCCCCCTACTTCAGTAATACTTCCTCCAGACTTCTGCTTGAAAATAACTATGTGTGTGTCCACGAAAATAGGATAGGATACTAATAGATTAATCTTAATTTCCTCCTTCTCCCCTTCTTCTTTCTCTTTATTAATATTAATATTAATTGTGAGTTTCCAGGGTTCTCCTGGTTTTTCCAAGTTTTGGTGATGGAATTCTACCTTGCTCCGCACTCTTAGGTTTGATCAGCGAAAACGTTTTCGTTGGCCAATTTATCCTCCCACCTTCAAATGAAAAGACACCAGAAAGGCAAGAGAGTCCTTTCTCCAGGCAGGTTCCCATGGTTTTGGGGGAATGGCCGATGCCTTTATGCAGTGGCAGCTGCAACCTTCCGCAAAGCCGAAACTGCAGCTCACACTCTCCCCTTCTTCCCCCGCCCAAACCCACTACCTCGCAAGTCCACACAATCCTTAAAAGCACACACACAACTCCTCCAATCTCGCATCCCCTCTCACAACCCACACTGCACGCACGCCAGGATGCCTGCTGCCACAGTAACGCTCAACCCACTCGGTGGCCCCACCCCCTTTCAGCCCCGCCCCCGCCCCAGACACCAATGGTCGCCGCCCGCAACTCCCGACGGATGCGTTGATAGGCCAGCGGGGCCTGCCACTCTCAGCGTGCGTCCCGCCCGGTCCTCGCTTGGGGCTGGGGCTGGAGGGGCCGGAGCATCAGCGTGAGTAGCTGCGAGCAGCCGCGGCGGCGGCGGCGCGTTGTTGCAGTTGCGCCATCTGTCAGGAGCGGAGCCGGCGGGGAGGGGGCTGCCGCGGGAGAGGAGGAGGGGTCGTCGTGACCAAAGGCCAACGAGACCCGCCCGCCGGCCGGCCGCAAAAGCAGAGGCAGAGTGCCCTCCGAGCCGGGCGTTCTCTCCCGTCCGGGCGCGCGGCGCTTCAGCCAGCGCACCGAGAGCTCTCCGGGCGCACACAAAGCCGCCGCCCGCGCCGCACCGCCCGGCGGCCGCCGTCCACGCCAGGGAAGGATCCGGCCGCCGGGCCGGGGACACCCGGCGCCGCCCCCTCGGCGCTCTCGGGAGGCCCACCGGCTCCCGAGCCCGGCGAGGAGCCACCGGAGCCGCCTCGGCCGCGCCGGAGGAGGGCGGGGAGAAGACCATGTGAATCGGCTCCGGAGCCTGAGCGCCGCGCAGGTAAGCGGCCGAGGATGCGCCGCAGGAGGGTCGTGGGGATGCTGCGGAGACGCCGGCCACCGGCGCCTCCGCGCTGCGCCGCCCCCGCCGCGGGGCCCGGCGCTGCAGTCTCCCGGCCGCCGCCGCCGCCTCCGGGGCGCCCCGCGGGGCTGCCGGAGAGTTGGCTCCGCTGGGAGTCTTCCCGCGGCCGCGCCGGAGGACATCTCTGCGGGGTGCGGCCCTGAGGTGGCGCAGGGATGGGGGCCCATCTCCTCGCCTGCGAGCGGGCGCGGGGTGAGAATAGGAATTGGCTGGGGGGGGGCGAGGCTGGCCCAGACTCCACCCTCGCCCTCCTTTCGGGGGCCCCCCACGGGGACTCGGCCTGTGTGTGTTGTTTTAATGTCAGGGATGATGTAATCACTTAATAATTGATGCCCCGTGCTGCTTCCCTCCCCATCCCATCCCACCCCACCCCACCCCACCCCTGCCCCACTCCTCCACCTCTCGGCCGCCTTCTGCGGTCGTCGCTTTCCTCAGCGCATCCTCCTGCCTATTTCTGGCACCTCCCTAGCACTTCCCCCATCCTCCCCTTCACTCTTCCTGTGCCACCACCCACCCAACCTTCCCCTGTCCCCCGTGCTGGAGCCTTCGCTCTTCTTCCTCTGCCTCCCCACCCCTTCTGCTCCCTCAAGCTCCTTTCTCCTCCCTTCCCTGCTCGCTGGATTTCCTCTCTACTTCCCCAGATCGATGACTGGTTTTTTGTTTGTTTGTTTGTGTGGTCGCCTCCCCTCTCTTATCTCTGTGGCCACAGGCAGAGGGGACTGGGCCAGAAAGAGGCCAGCGAGGTTGGGCCCAGGCGGAGATTTGCTGGGACTCAGTGAGAAGAGGGATAATAAAATCACCCTTCTTGCCCCTCCTCCCCTTAATAAATCACACAGACTTGCCGGGTGTGTGTGTGTGTGTGTGTGTGAGTGACACAAAGAGCCCTTTCAGTGCACAGAGAGGAGACGCACAAAGTACCCAAGGATGGGCACGATGATTCTTATTTCTCTTCACTGGGGCTTCCCTTTCTCTCAGATAAAGCAGTTGATTTTCTCTCTGAGAGTCTTTTCTGCCACATTTACCAAAAAATAAAAGACCCCAGATGCTGCGGGGTGGCAGGTGCTGTCATTTTGCTGTGTTCCTGGACCAGTAGTGTTGACTGGCAGCTGCAGTATTTCTTCGATTTAAGGGGGAAATGATTCCAGCAGTCTTAAGAGTTGCTTTACTAGCAAGGTAGCCCTCCTCTGCCTTGTTTTAACCTCCTCTCTTTTGGGGATAGGTACTAAAGAGCTGGGGGAGGATACCTTGGTGTGGGGGCAGAAGAATTTTGCTTCAGAATCAGAATATTAAATTGGTGTTTGGTAAGAGTGAGGCAGCCAGACTTCTTCTCTGAAGTCTAAGAAGTGCAAAAGTATTGAAATGCAATTTTGTCTGCCCAGTGGTGTTGTTTTACCCTTATATTTAAAAAAGTTTCTGGGGGCATCAAAACCAGAATAAATTGGTATTTGGAAGACCACTGGAGACTATGTGTCTTCCCCGCTTCAGGGTAGCCTTTAGACACCCACATCCTTCCTCTTACCACCCAAGCCATGGTAATACTTTCCACCCTTTGTGCTCTTTCTCCTGCGTCCTGGTCCCATGGGTACTGTGCTTGCAGATGAAGGGACTCACAGACTTTTGGAGGAAGTGGTTTGTTAACTATCTTAGGTTTGGGGGCACTTAACTACGAGCAAAGGATGTAGAGAATCTTCTGACAGAACTTTGAACCATCTGTTTGGTGTTCCTCCTAAAGAGGAAATGTTAATGTAAATTTAGAGGCTTAATGTTCCATTTTGTATGCCAGTGACTCTTACATGCTTAATTGGTAATGTGAAAACTTTGAACCCATTGATTCCTAAGAGCATGGCTCCTTGACGGCTGTAATAGATCTGTCTCAAGTTTGTTCTTCAAGAATTTTATTAGAAAAGAGTTATGATGCATTAAACATTTACTTCTGCACTTTCTAAGGACATTCATCGTAGAAGAACTTTTTATATTAAAAAAAAGCAATAGGGTTAATGAGTGTACTGTAAAAACAAAGGGTTGTTTGTTTGATGCCAGACCCAGGAAGGAAAGTCAGTGCACAATAAGCTCACACTGTGTTGACCAAGCTAAAGAGACTTAATGATAAGGTTGAATGTGAACAAATGCACACTCTGCTTTCTGTACTTTATGCTTTGTGCTGGGTCTGGACTCTCCAATCCCATCTGATTTGCTTGGGTTCTATTTAACCTTTAGGGCTCAGCTCAAAAGTCTTTGATGCTTTCTCCATCCTCCCCTCCAAACAAATCACCACACCTCCAATTTTGTTTTCAGACTTCAGAAGCAGGCGTTATGTTTGGCATGTCTCTGTTTCCATCATTAGCCAGTCAGCACATTGAGAGAAGGAACCTGGTCTTACTTAATCCTGTTTCAATAAATGTGAGTTAGGTCTTTGGTATGTGCCAGGCACCTGGATTCATTAAGCTAATGTTAGCAGCTCTAACAAATAGGCCTGCAAAAATGTAATGGCTCAAAAGCATTAGATGTTTATTATTCCTCATGGAGTAGTCCACTTTTTAAATGCCTTGGCCTGGAAATGCCTTGGCCCATCACTTCTACTCACATCCTATACACAAGGGCTAGTTATATGGCCACATTTAATTGCAGGGGAGCCTGGGAAATATAGGTTAGCCACTTGACTAAGAAAAAAAATCAAGAAGAAATGTATTTTGGGCCCCCAGCTTTGCCAGATGTTGCCACTCAACAAGGCACAGTCATTGCCCTCAGGGAGTTTGCAGGCTGATGAGAATTAGAATATATGGAAACTGTAGCCTGTACCCATCATTGCTTTTATTCTTTTGGTTTCTTGAGTTCAGATCTTTTTATTTTGAATGTGTTTTGAAGAACTTTGCTTTTTGTCGGTTCAAGTAGCTAGTTCCCACTCAGTGATTACTTTTAATACAGTGATCTTAGGCTTCCAGTGTTGACTTTGATATGGTTCTTTTACTCCAGGGGCATCTTTCTTGGCCCAGTTTTTTTATTTGCTGATTTAAAGACTCCCAAAGTGTCTAGGAGGGTCCTTAGAAATCACAGTTCTACCTTGTCTTAATTGAAAGAGGAAAGCAGACTGCAGAGGAGAAATTTCTTGCCTAGGGCCATGCTAATGGGAAGGGAGCCCTGGCAGGCTCAGCTCTCAGTCCTGCCTGGGTCCCCTTTACCACACAGCTGCCCTGACTTGGTGACTGTGAGCCCTGCCCTGCGTATTCCATGGAGATTAAGTGAGCTTCCAAACCTCCCGGAGCAGGGCAAACTGCTAAGTGTTCTGGATAGTCTCTGTTCTCCACAAGCCTCCAAACTGTTGGAGCAATGCAGTCCATACTAGGCATCATACTTAATAATGCACGTAGTTTTGCTACAGACAGTTCATTATATTCATCTGATCTGCAAACATTAGCCAAGTGTGTTATTGTGTGCAAGGCACTGGGAGATAGGGTCATGAAAATGAATGTTTCTGCTGTCCTTGCTCTTCAAGGGCTCACAGTCTGCTAGAAGAGATAAAAATAAATAATAGCTAACTTTTATTGAGCATTTACTGTGTGTCAGTCCGTGTTGAAGCTCTAGTCTTAACAAAAACGATAGGAAGTGGTTTTGGTTATCTTCATTTTACAGATGGAAAACTGAAGCCGGGGAGGTTAAGTAACTAACTCAAGATCATATAGTTATTGGGTGGTAGAGTCACAATTCAGGCCCAATTAGTTTGGTTTCAGAGCCCTTGCTCTTAGGCGATATGCAAAATACTATATACGGATATAATGATATTAATTAAAATATGCCATATGGGGGGATGACTAAATGCTTTCGAAATTGATACTTCTAGTTGTTGTGAAGCAACTTCATATTTAAATAAAAATAACGTTAAAAATGGGAAAGCAAAGCATGTTGATGGGGAAATACTTCTACTCTCTGTGATTTCCTTTTTAAGCTGGGTCCTTCTGTGGGCCACAGACAGGTCTGTGTTTGCGAATTGTCCTATGTATTTACTCATTCAGCAGCATTCATTCATTGTATCCACCATGCCAGACCTTGAACTGAATGCTTCAGGGGCAGAGGTGTGATCCTGCCCCAAGGAACTTACCTGCATAAAGGAAGTCTCTGGCCACCGTGACTTTAGAGGTCCTCACAAGAGAACATATAGAAGGGAGCGTGATCTCTGCAAAGAGGTGGGCAAGTGGGGCAGCCAGGCAGAAAAGGTTGGAGGAGGTGTCTTTGAGATGAAGAGTAGGAGTCAGCTAGTAGAGTGTTGTCAGAAGGCCATTGCCCTAGAAGGAGCAGCCCAGAAGGCAAATGCTCAGACCTTTTGGGAAATTGCAAGTAGTTCAGAGTAGGTGGTGGTTGTAGAGAGATGGACAGAGGAAGAAGATGGGGCTAGAGGAAAAATTGAGACTGTTCTTGTAAGTACAGTTGACCTTTGAAAAACATGGGTTTGAACTGCGCAGTCCACTCACATGCATTTCTTTGATAAACACAGTACAGTATTGGAAATGTATTTTCCTTATGATTTTCTTCACATTTTTTTCTCCAGCTTACTTCATTGTAAAAATGTAGTATATAATAGATACAACACACAAAATATGTGTTAATTAACTCTTTATGTTATCAGCACCCTCAACAGTAGGCTATTAGTAGTTAAGTTTCGGGGGAGTCAAAAATTATACACAGATTTTAGACTGCATGGGGGTCAGCACCCCTAACCCCTGCATTGTTCAAGGGTCAGAATGGCAGAATGGCATGTAAGAGTTGTAAGTGGAAATGTGCTTTGATCCAATTTGTATTTTATAAAAGAGCATCTGGCCACCGTGTGGGCTGTTGACCAGAGGCAGTCAAGACCGATGCAGGGAAGGTGGTTATGGAAACTCAGATGAGCAATAGATGAAGGTCTGAATGGAAGGAATGGAAGT